TTCGTCTATTTGCGGTAGTGGATACACATCCTTAACGGTCACTTTATTTAAAGCACGAAAATCTATGCAATATCTCAAAGTGCCGTCCTTCTTTCTCACTAAAACAGGAGGGGATGCCCACTCGGAACAAGAGGGTTGCACAATGTCAGCGGCTAACAATTTATCTAATGTTGCCTTTTCCTCTTGCTCGAAACCCAGAGGTGTGCGTCTCAGTCTTTGTTTAATAGGCTTTGCTTCGTTGGTATCGATTCTATGTTTAATCTTTGTAAAATGACCGATATCAAATTCAGATTTGGAAAAAACATCGGCATATTTTGTCAAAAGATTGCCTAATTTGAAAGACTGCTCATCAGACAAATCCTCACTAGATCGTTTCCACAAATCACGCACGTGTTCAGGAATATTATTCTCCACATCGTTAGAGTTCACATCAACTTTCAACACCGAGAAAGACTGGTGCACATTCGAACTGTCAAAACTCTCAGGATATCCCAGTACACGCTCAATCTCTTCCAAATCACCCATCACATGACCTGCTTTTAAGGTAATTGACTTATCAGTCTCATTCCTTAGAGCGAGTGAACAACTGAGGCAATCATCCGTATAATCGGTGCTTATCAACCCATATGGCACCGAAAGACCCTTCTGATCATATTTAGGGGCGTTGAGTAAAAAGGTTTTGTTCCTTTCCGCCACAAAGGGAACTTGAACAAACTTCTCAGAATGCGGTGGAACAGCAACTTTCTTTGATAAAATAACACGATTCGCCACTAAATAATTGTCAGTACCTTTTCTTATAGAGGCATGAACTTTATTGCGTCTTCTATCTGAAGGATCTGGTCTGGTCAACGATATGAAATTGTTTTCCAGACAGATGTGACACTCAAACATTTTCAAGAAATCTAAACCCAATAAAACATTGTCTGGGATAGGAGCTGCAAGTGCTGCATGTCCATTCATACACTTCTGAACCAATTGCTAATTTTAGGCCTTTTTATTTCTCTTGCTCGTAAGCTAATCTGCGGTATACCTTTTATGTCATGGTACCCGCCGTAAGTAATTTCTCCAGTAATTTGTGATAACAGCTTGTTACTAACTATGGTCACTTGCGCTGCCGTGTCGATAACAGCGTTAGTTTTGATTCCATTGACATGTATAGGGACCACCAAACTTTCGCCTTTGGCTATGCCATTACAATTAACAGTGTGTGGGATCAGATTTGGTCCTACTGCAGCTGAGGTCGATTGTTGGACCGCACAGGCGACCTGTTGCGGTTTAACGAATCACTGTTTTTCTGGGGACAATTGGTGCTTATGTGACCCATTTCATGGCAATTATAGCACCTTGTGATGCCCCTGGGGGTGTACCAAACTGAGTGTTATTGCCCTTTTGTGTTTGGTTCACGGACTGACGGAATAACTGAATCAATTCTAACAACGAGGATTCAATGTTTTGCAACCTCTGCTCTGCATCATCTGACTGAAATGATTTTCTCCGATTGGGACTTG